TTGAGCCGGCGGCGCAGAAGTTTTAGCAAAAACAGGGTCTTTGTAGTGCTTTGGAAGAGCTCGGGAAATCAATCTGATTGACCTAAAAAAAAGCCGACAGATTCTAAATCCGCCACTGGATGAGCTAGAATAACAAATGTTATGTTCCTGCTGTTTGCGCCCAAAATCCCAGTCAGGGTCGATTGCTTTTACCGAAATAAATTGACCCTGCTGCATTAACTTTCTATGGTCGATTTCAACGATGGTGAACCTGTGCGATCCCTCCTCGAAGTATTGATCGAACAAGTTGACTCCCAACAGAATGGAATTTTTGAACTGAGAGGAGAAAACGACAGACTATTAAACGACAATCACGAGCTAGAGAAATAAGTACAAAAAAATGGAAAGGTATTCTTCCCTATTGATTTAGCCATTTCATGGTGTGTCTGACGAGGGTGAGCACCCAGTACAATCAACCATGAGGATACGAAGGTGTTATGCGCAATTGCGTGACAAAACAACAAACGAAACTAAGACAAGTTAACATAGAGCAGTTTACTTTTTGCTGCAACTTATTTACAATAGGCAATTTAAATTTTTTTCAGATCAAGCATCAGTGCAAAATTTTCAATAAAAACCTTTCTAATAATTTTATTTCAATATACTCATTCTATCCGATTGGCGTGAAAGAAAATTATTGTATAATCTGTATATAGTATGTATATGGTCTGAAAAAACTCTGTGTATAATCTGTTTATAGTCCTATCTGTTTATAAGCTGTAAATAGGCTGTTTAAAATCTGTTTATAAGCTGTATATAATCATTAAAAACTATGCAGATAAACTTTAGATAATCTGTGGATAATGTGTATATAATCTTCTGTTCATTGTTTTCATAAGAATTGAAACAGAAAAAAACACAGTTTTAGAGTCTTGTGACCTTGATTGAAGATAATTAGTATAAAATTTTTGCTAAATCATAATGCATTCAAAAAAAAATATTTAAACTACGTAACCAAAGTTTTACTTTATAAAACTACAGCAGATCTGAAATCTGTATAATTTCTGATAAAAACTGATTTATTTTTTCCCCGTTGTGTCACTGCGGGCAGTAATTAAACGATAAACAAATTATGTGCACTGAAACAAATTAACTTATCACAACATTTTTTTGGACTGACTGAAAGAGATGATCTCAACCGATTTCCATTTTCAACAAAATCTCTGCAGATCTACCGAAACTATGAAAAATGGCAGTGCAACCAAAACTCAAAGATGTTTGATTAATGAGTCCTAAGCTTTTCCGGCTAAAGACGCATAGCGTGACAAAAAAATTGTTGAACAAGAGATAAACTACTCTTTGAGAAATACGTTCATCAGAAAAATAATAACTATCTCTCAGGCGTCATGAAATTACTGAAGAAGATGCCCTTGTTAGGTGATCTCAAGAAATGTATTAAGCCAGGAAGTGAGAAAAACTTCTCAAAAAGGATAAAAGTATTGGCAAGTAAATTATTGTTGAAATTGTTATCTTTTCAATTACATTCCAAAAGAAAATTTCAGAGGAGAACTGTTCAATTTTAATTGGAAAATTGAGGATGTTTGCAAGCAGTTCTATATGGAAACCCTCACACCGAGGCAAGCTTTGCACTTTGCAGTGGTGAGGAGAGAGCTGAAATGTTATACGAACGATTTAGCCGAGGTTTCCCAAAATAATCCGGGAACAGGTTTAGTCAATGCTGGCAAAACTCGACAAATGGTCAACAAGCCGGTTATGTTATAAGAGAACCAGTAAATGAAATCAAGGGTCAACGTGGAAACAAATTTCATTATTTGTAAACTGGTTAAAATCTAACCATCGAGAGAATTGTGCAGCGCGAAACATTATTTGCAACAGTTGCACGGGTCGAGGACCTTTCGCAAAACCTTGCAAGAAAACGGGGATTGAACCATGTCGATGGTACTAATGACTCCACTCAGTACGAGATAAACGTGATACACAGCTTTGATAACGATAATGACGAAGAATAATTCGGTGTACTCGCATTATGCACAGTGTGGGACAAGACAGGAAATGGAAACCGAAAGTTAGTAAATGTCAAAGTGGGAAAAAGCCAACAGCGCTCAGATTTCAAGATATATTGCGTCAATCCAGCCTATTTCATCCCACAAGGAGAGTTAATTGAGCAAAAGGTAAAGAATAGATTTCAAGCAGTAAAATTATTACCAGTCGAGATACGGATTTTTATCTACAGTGCATTGGACGACGTCACCAATGTCATCTTCTGAATATTGAATCCGAAGGTTAGATCACCAAAAAAGCTGATTTATAAAAAGCCAAGGGGAGACAATGAGGCAGAATGATTGTAGATAAATCGATTCTATACTTGCGAAAGTCTGTAGATTTTTCTGTGTTTAACAGATTTTCATCCATTTTTGTCACTGCGGGTGATCATGGTTATCTAAAAAAGTTTAAAAATCCATTCATTTTCTTAGAATGGAATTGTATGAGGTGCATTTTGTTTTCTTTTTTTTGTGTGCTTCATTTTATAATCTGTGTTTTGCACTGAGAAACAACAAATAAAATGTTTCTGATATGAGAAAACCAATATATTACACAACGATAGAGTTGTAGCTTAATTTCAGTAATTACAGATGCCAAAGTGAATTGAACTGTTGAATTTCACTAATTATTATAAAAAATAATTTTTCATGTATATGCCTACAAATTTTTTTTCAAAAAATCCAGTATTTAAAATCGTGGCCGGTTTTTGACAGAGAAATTTGATATGCTACTTTCTAAAATGGAAAAAAATAACTTCTGATATCGCAGAGAAGTTCATTGATATTTTTGTGTGTGGACTACGTTATGTGCATTTTTTTCTGCTGAAAATTGTTTTTGGAAAACGGTTTTCGTTAAAAAAACTGGTTTAGCGACTAAAAAGAAAACTAAACTATTTTTTTGTGTTTGGAAATTTTGTATTGATCACAAAGTTTTTACACAGTTTTCATAAGTGAAAATGTACGTTAAGCATTTGTACAATTGAAAAATTTGAGAGGAAAAAGTCTCTTAATCATCTTCAAACAATAATAAATTTCAATAATTTACAAGAAAAAAATCAAAAAATAGCAGTTTTATTGGTGAGCACAAAAAATTTTTTGACGTACAAATTTCATGACGTGAAAGAGAACTTTTGATAAACTTTTTTCTCATAAACTACAACAATTGAATTGCATGAGGTTGTAGTTGGTTGCATGGAGGTTGTAGTGGAGACTATGACGATCGACGTACCTGCATGTAGTTTCAAGCGTTAAAAATTGATTCTTTTACGGTTCTAGACCAGTCTAACTAAAGTTGAGAAACAATTGATTTTAACCAAATAATAATTGATTATAAACTCTTCTTTGAAAATCAAATTATACTTGTTATAATCCATTATGATCGACTATAATCGAATATAATCGATTTTTTAAACGTCTTTTTTTTCGATACCCTTAAAATCAATTATAATCGATTATGATCCATTTTTTTATTCAAATATCTAATTCTTTAGTTTTGCACAAAAATCAATTATAATTGATAATTATTGATTTTAATCCTTTCTGTTTGTCCATTTTGTCTTAGAATTTGCATTTAAATTGCTTATGTTTTGTGCTTTTTTTGAAAACGTTGGTTCCTATGAAAAATGATAAAAAATGTTTTTAAAGTTTTCCATTCAATTCAAAGTTATGTAAACCTATTTCATTTCTTTCCCATTAGAATTGCTGTGTGATGAATATTTTAAGCTTTTTTAACCACCAAAACATCAGCAAATTGACTTAGTTTCATGATTGGTTCGGAAGGTTTACTTTTCAACTAACGCGGGAACCTTTCCACTAATATGAAAGGATCTCTATGAAACTTTTGTTTCGTGGTAAAACTTTGTGTTCAGGTGAACCAAATTGTTCAAGAGTTTTTTCTTTCAGAGTTTTTCTTTTTGACACAAAATTGAAAGCCCATAAGATGTAATTCAAATATAGTTTTGAATTGACATAATTTTGGCAAAATAAAAGATTATAATTAATTATAATTTAGTATAATTGATTTTAAAGGTTTTTTGTTAGAACTATAATCCATTATAATCTCTTGGAAAAAAGCACGATTACAACCATTTGTAAATCCTTTAAACACCTAATTTTGGTACTTACTCAATTATAATTGTCAAAATATCATCATAATAATCCGCTATAATCGATTACTTACGCCTAAACTTGAATGCGAGTTTTTAATGTTGTGTTATTACCTAATTAATTAATGCCAAGTTCCTTGTTATAGTTAGCATGAACATCACGTACCGCTGTTGGCGCTGGTGTCTAGTTAAACTCAAGTTGATTCTCTTACGACTTATGTTAACATGTAACAACGTGGTTACTTTCTTAGAAGTGAACCCGGAGAAGTCAGGGACATCAGATATGTGCGTTTCAGAAAAAGCGGGAAGATGAACAAGAGTGAAATTCGTTTTAGATTGAAGAAGTGATTTTGGCACTTGAACAGCTATGTACTTTTCAAACGTTGATACCTCTCTCTCAACATCAGATTCATTTTCTTTCTTCAAGATTAAATCAAAAATAATAAAGACTAATCGAAAAATCGAAAAATAGAAGAACTTTGAAAACTGAAAGATCTTTAGAAAAGCGAAAAAACAAAAGGGTTGCGAATGTGAAGTGACTAAATCTCAACAAAGTAAACCGCAACATGTGTGTAAATTGCATCATGTGGTCTTAGTAAATCGCAACATGTGTGTAACGTGACTGTACTTTGATTTTGTCACCTTGCTAAAACACCTACTTGGTTCGCTGAACTCAGTATGACTTATTGACTTCTCATCCTTCTTCTGTAGTCTTCTGCTCTTCGTGAAGCTGGGCGTTATCTTGCTTGCATTCAAATTCGTTATCAGAACTTGAGGCTCCTGCTGGAATGAAGTCTCCTTCTTGGCCACGTCGATTCCGCTCAATCCTGTGATATCGCTTAAATCTGAAGCATAAGAGCCGCGGCTCAATACATTTATTTACCAAAGTATATAGCCAAAGTCAGTTGCTATTATACTTAGTTCGAACTCGGAATAATCAGAAAGAGTGGCCGAATGCGCAATGGTTTTCAATTTTTTTTGTAAATTAAAAAAAAAATCAGTCTAATCGTTACTGTGCAAGTAGCACGAACTGTTCTAAGCACAGTTTTTGTTTCGACACAGAAAAAAAATTTAAAAATAAGAATCCATTTACGTTGATTTACGTTTTAATTGATGTTCGCATTCCGACAACTCACTCGCCTTGGACGATGCTTGTTTGTGAAATTGGACGGAAAAAAACGCACCCTTAATTATAAATTTTGAGTTTAAGTTTGGGGTAGCTTTATCATAGAGTAATTGTGGATAGGGAACACCGACTGTTCGTCACGCTTTCTTGTTTTCGGCCGAATAGAATTCCCCAACTTTTTGGTCTAATACCGATATCAATCTTACTCTTATTTTTCCTAGTCTCAATAGATCTAATATATACTGGTATTCTTGCGAGATTAGAGGAGAGGAAGAGCAACTGCTTTATAATTGAAAAAATTGTTCTTCTCTGGCTGAAATTATAAATAGTTTCAGCCTTACAAATTTTTGTAAAATTAGGTCATGGATCATTATTGGTTACTTCTAATAAACACTGGTATTCTTGGAAGGTTAGAGAAGAGGAGGATAACTGCTCTCCATTTTAAATTTATTCTTCTCTGGCTGTAACAAAAACTATTTTCAGCCTTAGAAATTATCTAATATATACTGGCATTCTTGCGAGCTTATTGGAAAAGAGGAGCAACTGCTTTCTAATTTAAATTTATTCTCCCTGGAAAACTATGACTAGTTTCAGCCTCACAAGTTATCTAACATATACTGGTACTCTTGCGAGGCTAGAGGAGAGGAGGAGCAACTGCTTTCTAATTTAAATATATTCTTCTCTGGCTGAAACTATGAATAGATTCAGCTTTACAAAGTATCGAATATAAACTGGTATTGTTGCCAGGTTAGGAGAGAGGAGAAGCAACTGCTTTCTAATTTGCATTTGTTCTTCTCTGGCTGAAACTATAAAAAGTTTCAGCCATATAAATTGTTGTAAGTTTAAGTCATTGATCTTGGTTGGTTAACTCCAATAAATACTGGTATTCTTGCAGGGTTAGAAGAGAAGAGGAGCAACTGCTTTCTATTTTAAGTTTATTTTTTTCTGGCTTAAAATATAAAGAGCTTCAGCCTTACAAATTATCTAACCTATACTGGTATTCTTGCGAGGTTAGAGGAGAGTAGGAGCAACTGCTTTCTAATTTTTATTTATTCTTCTCTGGCTGAAACTATAAAAAGTTTCAGCTCTACAACAGTTGTAAGTTTAGGTCATAGACCATGATTGGTAATTTCTAACATAAACTGCTATTCTTTCGAGGTTAGATGAGAGCAGGAGCAACTGTTTTCTACTTTAAATTTATTCTTCTCTGGCTGAAACAATAACAAGTTTAAGCCTTATAAATTATTTATTTAAAATATTCTGGTATTTTTGTGAGAGTAGAGGAGAAGAGGAGCAACTGCTTTCAAAGTTAAATTTATTCTTCTCTGGCTGTAACAAAAACTATTTTCAGCCTTAGAAATTATCTAATATATACTGGCATTCTTGCGAGCTTATTGGAAAAGAGGAGCAACTGCTTTCTAATTTAAATTTATTCTCCCTGGAAAACTATGACTAGTTTCAGCCTCACAAGTTATCTAACATATACTGGTACTCTTGCGAGGCTAGAGGAGAGGAGGAGCAACTGCTTTCTAATTTAAATATATTCTTCTCTGGCTGAAACTATGAATAGATTCAGCTTTACAAAGTATCGAATATAAACTGGTATTGTTGCCAGGTTAGGAGAGAGGAGAAGCAACTGCTTTCTAATTTGCATTTGTTCTTCTCTGGCTGAAACTATAAAAAGTTTCAGCCATATAAATTGTTGTAAGTTTAAGTCATTGATCTTGGTTGGTTAACTCCAATAAATACTGGTATTCTTGCAGGGTTAGAAGAGAAGAGGAGCAACTGCTTTCTATTTTAAGTTTATTTTTTTCTGGCTTAAAATATAAAGAGCTTCAGCCTTACAAATTATCTAACCTATACTGGTATTCTTGCGAGGTTGGAGGAGAGTAGGAGCAACTGCTTTCTAATTTTTATTTATTCTTCTCTGGCTGAAACTATAAAAAGTTTCAGCTCTACAACAGTTGTAAGTTTAGGTCATAGACCATGATTGGTAATTTCTAACATAAACTGCTATTCTTTCGAGGTTAGATAAGAGCAGGAGCAACTGTTTTCTACTTTAAATTTATTCTTCTCTGGCTGAAACAATAACAAGTTTAAGCCTTATAAATTATTTATTTAAAATATTCTGGTATTTTTGTGAGAGTAGAGGAGAAGAAGAGCAACTGCTTTCAAAGTTAAATATATTCTTCTCTGGCTGAAACTATAAATAGTTTCAGCCTTACAATTTTTTATAAGTTTAAGTCATGGATCATGATTGGTTAGTACTAATGTGTACTGGTATTCTTGCGAGGTAAGAGGAGAGGAGGAGCAACTGCTTTTCAAGTTAAATTTATTCTTCTCTGGCTGAAATTTTATACAGATGCTGCCTTACAATTTATCTATATCATAGTGGTGTTCTTGCGAGGCTAGAGGAGATAAGAAGCAACTGCTTTTTAACTTAAACTTATTCTTCTCTAGCTGAAACTACAAATAGTTTCAGCCTTACAATTTATCTAATTCTTACTGTTATTCTTGCGAGGTTAGAGGAGAGGAGGATCATCTGCTTTCCAAGTTAAATTTCTTCTTCTCTGGCTGAAACTTTAATAGTTTCAGCCTTACAAATTATCTATATTATACTGGTGTTCTTGCGAGGTTAGTGGAGATGAGAAGCCATTGCTTTTTAAGTTAAATTTACTCTTCTCTGGCTGAAAATATAAAGAATTTCAGCTTTACCATTTTTGTAAGTTTAAATCATGGACAAATAATTTAAAAAAATACAGCATACTTTTGTTACTTTTTGAAGTGTTAGAAAATGGTACAGACAAATTTGTTCAAACTTTTTTGGAAATGATTTGCAAAATACAACTTTTTTAAAGCTTAAAATAGAATAAATATGAGAAAAAATCAACTCTGATAAGATTCCAATTTTTTTACTTTCCCTTTCAAGTTCGATATTTTCTGATCACGGTTCCACCCGGGTTTACCTCCATTAAATAAATTATTGACCTTCTTTAAAAAACTTTGATATAAAAAAATTGTTTTAGTAGCGTTCTTTTGATAGGTATTCAAATTTGTCTGCAGTGATTGTAAGTAACTTTATTGCCGTTTTTTGTTGTGTGAAATGCCAGTTCTTTGTCAAATTTTTTGTTTGTTTGGTGTGGGAGATCTGGTACTTTTAGTATAGAAAAATTTTGTATGAATAAACGGCTTTGCGGCAGAATAGATGGGTTGACCTCCACACACCGATAATGTTTCTCATACAACTCCATTCAACAAAAAGCATTATCATACGATTCCATACATCAAGTGTATGGTGGAGAAAATGCTTGTCATACAATTTTCATACGTTATCGAAAACAATTGAAAAGAAATTAAACTATTTCTGCGGCTTTTGAGAACAGTTTAACAGACTGGTGACAAAAAAACTGAATTAATTTTTTTTTGAAAAAAATGCTCACCATACAAATAGTTTCAGCTTTACAAATTATCTAAGATATACTGGTATTTTTGCGAGGCTAGAGTAGAGGAGGAGCAACTGCTTTCTAATTTAAATTTATTCTTCTCTGGCTGAAACTATGAATAGATTCAGCTTTACAAAGTATCGAATATAAACTGATATTGTTGCCAGGTTAGGAGAGAGGAGAAGCAACTGCTTTCTAATTCGCATTTGTTCTTCTCTGGTTGAAACTATAAAAAGTTTCAACCATATAAATTTTTGTAAGTTTAAGTCATTGATCATGGTTGGTTAACTCTAATAAATACTGGTATTCTTGCAGGGCTAGAAGAGAGGAGGAGCAACTGCCTTCTATTTTAAGTTTATTTTTTTTCTATTTATTTTTTATGAATAGATTCAGCTTTACAAAGTATCGAATGTAAACTGGTTTTGTTGCCAGGTTAGGAGAGAGGAGGAGCAACTGCTTTCTAATTCGTATTTATTCTTCTCTGGCTGAAACTATGAAAAGTTTCATCTGTACAACAGTTGTAAGTTTAGGTCATGGACCATGATTGGTTAGTTCTAATATAAACTGCTATTATTTCGAGGTTAGATGAGAGGAGGAGCCACTGTTTTCTATTTTAAACTCTCATTCTTCTCTGGCTGAAACAATAAACAGTTTCAGCCTTACAAACTACTTATTTAGTACAATCTGGAGTTTTTGCGAGAATAGAGGAGAAGAGGAGCAACTGCTTTCAATGTTAAATTTATTCTTCTCTGGCTGAAACTATAAAATGTTCCAGACTTACAATTTATTATAAGTTTAAGTCATGGATCATGATTGAATAGTACTAATAAATACTTGTACTCTTGCGAGATTAGGGGAGAGGAGGAGCAACTGATTTTTAAGTTAAGTTTATTCTTCTCTGGCTGAAACTATGAATAGTTTCAGCTTTACAAAGTGTCTAATGTATACTAGTATTCTTGCGAGGTTAGAGGAGAGGAGGAGCAACTGCTTTCTAAGTTGAATTTATTCTTCTCTGGCTGAAACTATAAATAGTTTCAGACTTACAATTTATTATAAGTTTAAGTAATGGCTCATGATTGGTTAGTACTAATAAATACTTGTATTCTTGCGAGATTAGAGGAGAGGAGGACCAACTGCTTTCTAAATTAAGTTTATTCTTCTCTGGTTGAAACTATGAATAGTTTCAGCTTTACAAAGTATCTAATGTATACTGGTATTCTTCCGAGGTTAGATGAGAGGAGGAGCAACTGTTTTCTATTTTAAACTTATTCTTCTC